ACGCAACGATGAATAAATAGCAACGCCCACTAGGTTAGCTGTGATGCGTTTTGTCAATGAACGTCTAAAGTGTTCACTGCTTTACTCTCGTACGTAGAGGAATTGTAGTGATTCCAAGTTGCCAATCTTGCGGCAAAAGTTTCACGCAACTGAAAAACAGACACGCCCAGGGGCTGAATTTATACAGGAGCAGGAAGCGTTCTGAAATTTCAGCTTTCTAGCTTTTTCGGCTTCCGAGATAATTTCCGCATCAAAATTTACGCGTGACTGTACGTGCTAGGTGCGCACGAAGGATGAAATCAAATTTGTGGTAGCGCACGCAGGCAAAGGTTACTGTAAAATTCTAGTATTTAGCTTTTGTGGCTCTCCAGATAACAACTTCCCGCCACAAGTAGTGCTCGGGCGAATGGAAAGATTAAAATTAAATTTGCAAAATCACGAGTGGGGATTCCCCTAAATTTTCATAGACCTCGTTTTTGTAGTTGTCGAGCCGAAAGTTGTGGACAAAATGCACTCCAGCACAAATACAAACATACACAACACACATACAGCCCCGTGACAATGTGTCTTTTTATGGCAACTATTGAAGCACTGCCCGCTCCGCCCGCGCCAAACATGATCTGCGAACTATTTTTTCGGGCCCACTGCAACAAGGATGTTGGATGACACAGATAGAGTGGCGGTGGGGAAGGGGGGTACTGCGTAAGGGTTGCGGGCATGGGGATTCGAAGCAGGGCGAGGGAGTTGTTTGGGTGGATTAAGTGGCAACATGAAGTGGATTTGTTGGCAGCTACATAAGAGAGAGTGGAGAGGGGGATGATGGGCAGAAAGGAAGGGGAAGAGCGCTTCTGGTTTTTGCCACGGATACGCGGGGTACGGAAAGGGCACGAGAAGGGGTGTGAACTGCAGAGGGCACAAGAGGCAGAGAGCAAGAAAAAAACTAGCAAAACTTTGAAAAACAAAATTTTGGCGCCGGAGTTTACTTGGTTGCCGAGTTGAAATACCCGGACGGACAAACAGACAGACACCAGGGTCGTCAAAATATGTGCGAAAACGCATAATGATGCTTTTTATAAGTGTCGTACGGTTACAAGCGCAAGTCTCGAGTGTGTGACCCTCAGTTCCCAAAAAAAAACACTAAAAAGCAGGTCGTTACATCACATTGCTGACAAACATTCATTATGGATTCTTTCAAAATAAAAAACCACTCTTGCGATGACAAGTGAACATGCGCAGTAGATACACTACATGAAAACTGGAATCAAATACCCCAGAAGAGAGGAAAATGATGCAGTTGTGTCTTGTGCATGCCCACCATCGAATGTCTGTATTAAAAATTTCATTTTGATAACCCAAGCAACGGAGATGGATATTAACGATGACGCAAGTTTCGAAACCCGTGGAAAAAATACACATATTCAATTCTATGAAAGGATTAAAAAAATCTGATGCGTTTCTACGTGGCTGAAAATGCCAGACGCCAGCAATGTGCCAAAATAAGCTTGTTAAAAAGAACTGCAGTGATACTTAACGAAGCTTAAAAGAATAAATTTTTAACGAATAACTGCTATTATGATAACACCTTTCTAAAACAGATTAGTCCGTGAAAGTCATCCCTAGCGATTAAAATACAAAAACAAACAATGTGGGAAACTAACATTTAAATCTTGAATGCGACACTCAAGTTCATATGCGGTTTCATCACCTTCGTTCACTGCTGGTACGATTTCTAATGAAGATAACTGTGCAACAACCTCATCTTTCATAGCATTGAAAGCAGAAATTGCTGCCAGTTTTCCTCCAACTGCAGCGGTCAAGCGCACCAACAGATCGTTAAGTAGACCCAGTTGCGAATTACTCATTTCACGCAACTCGTCACCTTCGGCACCACACGGGATGTTCTTGGCAAGGTTTTCAAGCTGTCGTTTTTTTGCTTCGAGCTCGCACAATGCAGCGTTCTGCTCATCCACAGTATTCATTAGGGCCTGTTCAATTTGCTTTGCACGACTTTGTACACTTTCCGTGATTAAATGTATTTCAGGCAATAAGCTGCGCAGCTTAACGCGTTCATTCAGCCTGTTTTCTTTGCACACAAGGGCCGTTTGTAGTTGCTGGATACGGCAGTGAAGATCTGCCGGTGTGGCGATCACATGCTGCACTAGTCGTTCAGGAGCATGCAACATTCGCTGCAATTTTTCCACATTTTCACTACAGCGCCCCAGCTCGTCGAACAAACTACCCACGCTCTTTAACTGTTCCAGTGGCTCCACAACTTCTGCATCAATGCCAGCAATGTTGTTGCTAAGACAATCAAGTGTCGAAAGGGCATATTGGAAATCTCTGACCAACTGTTGCCCTCGCAG